GCACAATCTGAGCAGGTAGCACAAACCATCAGAACACTGGCTGGGACAAGGCATCACAGTATGGTAAGGGGCGTAACATTTCCGTCACACGCTTGAGGTAGTCGGCTAATCACAATGCACTGGATAGCTGGCCAATCAGAGCGCACCTCGCTTTTCAGAACGATGAGTTTTGTAAAAATCGATGCGTTTCAGAAAAGCGGGGCATAGAGGAGAAACAATAATGTACAGTATGTGGAAAATAATGTGTTTTTTTAAGCTTAAACTGCATAAACACATTTCATTACACCAAACACACAAAATAATGTTCTTTTTAGCAACATCATATGACCCCTTTAAAAGAACAATTTTTTTCTTTATTACATATTTAAATAATCTGAAGAACATTTTTCCACTGTGAAGAACCTGTGGTGGAATGAAAAGGTTCTTCGTGGAACTGTTGATGGCAAAAAAAAAAGGTTATTTATTTTTAAGAGTACAGTATCATACTAGGGTTAAGGGATAGTTCAATTAAAAATGGCTTGCTTATTCCATCGAAACAAAAGATATTCTGAAAAATGTTGGTGCTTTTTCTGTCGATGCAATGAAAGACAGTTGGGTCTGGAAGAGCGTTAGGTTCAAGGTTTGGAACAACATAAGGGTGATATACCCTTTAAAAATCTTTTGTTGTTTGTTTTAAATCTCTAAACTTACTTTGCAATCATTCTCCAGGGAAGGACATGAATGCGTCTTTTCCAGAGCTCTCCTGTTTGAGCTCCAACAGCACTGATGACTTCAAACGCCTAGTGTATCCTGCAGCATACATTCTAATTTTTGTCCTGGGACTCGCCGGTCACTCTTTATCTGTTTGCGTCTTCTTCAGCCAATGGAGGACCCAGAAGAGTTTCACTCCAGTCAGCTTGTTAATGGTGAACCTGTTGGTATCAGACCTGATGCTGGTGTCCTCTCTGCCCCTGAGGGTCTCGTATTACATAATGAACTCTCACTGGATCTTTGGTCACATCACCTGTAAAGTCATCTCATACGTGTATTATCTGAATATGTACAGCTCTGTGTATTTCCTAGTGGCCCTGAACATCTTGCGTTACCTGGCGCTGGTACGACCGTACCTGTACATACGCATACAGACCCACTACGTTGCAGGTATCATGTGTGCTCTCATTTGGCTCTTTATGGGTTTAGCCTGCAGTCCGCTGTTGTTCACTAAGAAGAAAGATCAAGACGAAGGCAGTTTTCGATGTTTGGAGCTGGCTGAAAACAATGTGGATCAATTGCTCCTTATCAACAACGTTACGTTTCCGGTGGGCTTTGTGTTGCCCTTGGTGGTTGTCATATTCTGCTCGGTCTTGGTTGCGAAGAACCTTCTGAGGCCTAGTCCTGCACTCGGTAGGACCAGACCTTGCAGGAAGAAGGCTTGTGCTCTGGTCATCATCAGCCTTGGGATCTTTCTGGTGTGCTTTTTGCCGTATCACGTAGTGCGGACAATCTTCTTAACCACCGAGAAACATGCCCAGAAGCATGAATACAAAGACTCGTGTGACTTTATTTTGGTAGTCCGGAAGGCTGCCGTAATAGCGCATTGCTTATGCACGTCTAACAGTTGTCTGGACCCTATCCTCTTCTTCTTTGTTGGGGAAAATTCCCGATCGTTCTTCGCAAAATGGACAGGAGGAAGAAAACCCAGCACTTGCGCTGCAGGGAGAAACCTACAGCAGGAAGAGTTACAGGTTTTGCAGAACTGAATGGAAATGGCTGAACAGATAACAAATAACAGACCAGAAGTACCTCATTCTTCTGTGCGCTTCATAAATAGATGTACAATACGAAAAGGTCATGTTTTGACTGACTGTCCTTGTTTACACTGGGTTCAGTACAAGTTAGGACCAATCAACAAAATTTTGATTGCTGCAAATTAATTTTGGTCCCTCTTTTTCTCTAAAAAAGCAAAAATCTTGGTTGCAATCAGGCAGTTATGATGAAACTTAAGACTAATATGCGTGTTAACATGATTTTTGTGTGAAAAAATACTAACCTTTTCTGTTTAATTTTACAACTTTGTCACAATGAGAGCGATCATATCAGAAGACCAATGCCTGCCTGGTTTCACAGATAAGGCTTAAGACTAGTCCCAGACTAAAATGCATGTTTGAGCTGTCTTAACTGAAAGCAACTCGCACTGACATATTGTGTCAGTGTCATTGATTTGTATCAAAATGCACACCAGTAATGTTTTTTTTTTCTAGGGCACTACTTAAATGTTCCAATTTAAGGCCTAATCCTGGTTTAATCTAAGCTCTGGCTGTGAAAACAGTTGAGTGAGTGCTAAATTAAACGTGTCACAAAGCCTCCAGAAATTGGCCCCATTTACTTCTATTATAATGGTGAGTTCAACTCATGTCAGAAAGATTTATGAGTTGTTTACGAGGGTTTGTTTTTCTCCTGAGTTATGGGTGTCAGTGAGAAAACATGGTAAATTTGTTGCAATTTTTTTTCCATTTACAATAAAACTAATATATGCAAAACTGTATTATGCAAATTATATAGAATATACTAATTTAGTTTACTGTATCTTTATAAATGTAGTAAAAATATAAAAAAGCAAAACATCTGATGTGCATTTTTTTTTAGTCATCATTTTGTAGAAGTTTAGTTAAAAATATTTTTTTGTAATAATTTAAACGCACCAAAAATTTGTAATTACAACTTCCCAACTTTTTAATGCCACCAATGCTGTTGATTGAGCTTGTAATGAACCCGGTATTTAAGTCACTTCTATTGCCATTTGTCATGTTGTATCACTGCTCACTTCCATAAAGTTAACTTTGCTCAGCTTTGTAGCTTAGCCAGTGATTGCTTTCCCTGACAGTTACCTGCTCTCTGAAACTGAATGATTGCAAGTCACTTTTTTTTTTTTTAGTTTAATTCACTGTTCGTGGAAACACCCCCTCAGTATTATGGTGTTGAATGTTAATCATGCTAATATTTAGGCAATGCTGTTACACTCATAGGTGTGTACTATCGCATGTGTTATGTTTTCAGTGTATATTTTCAATTAAACTTGTTTTTAGTCCTGTACTGAAGGTTTCACTTCTCTCTGTGCGTCTATGGCACATGTCTGTAGAGTCCCAATGTTAAAGTCTGCGCAATCAGGAAGCATAAGTAATGCTAGCAAAGCATGTGGCTTCCTCTGCTTTTCGCAGCTCTCCTTGTCGCCACATTAAAACTGTGCAAGTTCCTCTTTTTAGGTTTCCATACTTGACACACTTGTGTTATATATGTGATAGATATCTGTGCTGTTTATTTGTCATCACATTCACATGAGGAAGCTCAGTTTTCTGGTGAATATCATTTGATCTTTATCACATCTGTACATCCTTCCACTGTTCATGTTTCAAATTATTTTTTATTTTTTTTGGGTGGGGAGTGGGGGGTTATAGTTACAGTATAATAAATGCCATGGTCACTGGTCCGATTTCATTAGAAAACCATGCATCCCTACAAAAATGTGAGGGGTGTACTCACTTCTGTGAGATACTGTATATTGCAGTACACTTTTTTTCCTTTTTAAAAAGATGTGCTGCTTAGAGAAGATGTCAAGGAGACCGTTTCCACAGCAATTATGTTTTGTTTATACGTAAACATTGAACTTTCTTTCATTTCATCCATAAATGGAAGTATTCGCTATCACTAAACCATTGTTCCCTTACTAAAGCTCCTCCCATTATGTTGCATACTGCACAAAGTACATTAGAAATATCCTCTGCATCAACAGGCAGGTTGTGCCTCAAAATCTTACAGACATAGATTGTGTTTTTAGCTCTATTTTGGCAACAGTGTTTATTAATCAAGTTTACTGTTAGTCACCATGCAATAACATCTTTTGCTATTTTAAAAGCTCAGAGGCTAATACTTTTGTCTTATAAAATCTTTTTCATTTAAAATAATCATTGATATGAGAAACTATTAGTATAATGTGGATGTTAACAGACCAAATTTAAACACTCCAACTGTGATTACATGCATATTTATGCATTTACTTAAAGTTTTTGTTTTCATTTGATCCATTCATCCCAACAGTACCAGTGGTTTTTGATGTTGGTCTGTATGTAAGAAATGTGTTTGCTAACCTCTGGTGCTGCAGTGAAGCTGTTTTGTTTCACTTCTGCACTATGCTGTTAACACAGCTCTGTTTTATGTTTTGTCATTTTAAGTTATCTTGAGGCACCCATAGAAGTTTTCTGAAAGCCCATAGTGGCCCATAATGTGTTTAATATGTTTTTTAGATGTACTTTTACACTTTATAAAGTGTCTTAAGCTTTGAAAATCACAAAAAAAAAAAAAGATGTATTATTGGTGGTGGTGCTAGTTTTTGTAGTAGTTTTGTCCGTTCCATGGCATTGCATGTCATGTGATGTAAATATGGCTGCGCCCATGAGGGGGCGACCTACTCAATGTAGAATAAAACAGCTGTTTGTAGAAAACATGTATAGAGTCGTCATGAAATTAACAGTTTTGATTATATTTGTCAAAAGTGCTGTTCTTTGTGAAACATTTCTACAAAAAAAAAAAAACTAGTGCACCTTGGTAATGGTATTTTCAGCACTCACAGCACAGAGATGAGTAGTTTCTCTAATCTGGGAAAATATGTAAGAAACTGCAGGCTATTTCACTGCTTTTTAGCAGGGTATGGCACAATCTTTTGACCATGGAAATGTTGTAAGAGTCAGACCTAAATATAACTAACGACCACCCTCTTGACTTGTGTGTGTGTGTGTGTGTGT